TTGCCATATACCCAAAGATAGTGTACCTTTACCTAAGGATATTTTTTAAAATTTTGTATCCTTTTATCTTTGGTTTTCTTCAATTGTACTACTCAAATGCTTGAGTCTCATTTTCTTTGCATTTATCCTGCATAGTTTCATAAAGCTTCTTGAATCTGTGGCTTGGTGTCTTTTGTTTGGGGCGAACATTTGTGTTTAAAGTCTCTTCAAATATTGCTCCTGTCCCATTTTCTCTCTCATCTCTGTGACTCCAATTCCATGTAGGTATTTCTGTCATGTCCCTGTCTTTTATTCTCTTTTCCATATTTTCCATCTTTTTTCCCAATGTGCTTCTATCTGGGTAATTTTTAATGACCTATCCTGGAGTACTCTAAGTCACTCTTCTGTTGTAATCTACTCTATTAATGAACAATCTACTCAATTCCTAAACTTAATGATTTTATTTTTCAGTTCTAAGAAAAATGTCTAATAATTTCCTCTTCTCTGTTAAAAATTTCTATCATTTCATATATCCCCTTAAATATATTAATTCTAGTTATTTTAAAATCCATGTTTTATAACTTCAAAATCTTAAACAAACATGGATTTTTAGTCCTCTGTTTTTTCTCTTGGTTTTCCTGGCATGCTTGGACATCTTTTATTAAATGCCAGACATTGTGCATGAAAAACTGTAGAGGGTTTGGATCATTCTGTATTTCTCTAGAGAGAGTTTGATTTGTTTTTAGGAGGAACACAAGAAACAGCAGATCACCTTCATCCAGTCTAGGATGGTCCATTGCCCATAGCGCATAGCTTTTCAGAGGCAGAAAATTAAAACAAAGAGCATTTATCAGGGACTTTTTCTGTGATGGGCCATAAATTGTTTTTGCTTCTCTGGTACCTCAAAACTACCAAAATCTCTGATTAGCCTTTCAAGTCTTAGCAGCTGCTTTCTGCTTGGTTTCTTGGCAGTTTCTCCTGTGTGTGTAGGTTCTAAGTTGGCAAGTGCCTCCATTAAAACGGCTGGCAAAATCTTCACCTCACTGTTCTGCAGCTTCCTTCTCTCAGGAATCTTGGCCTTCTAGTGCTGGTTGCCTTGGTGGTCTTAAACTCCACTATTTGTCTTCCCAGTCTAGTGAGACGGCCACGAATTCTAGGCATTGCCTTCTCTTCAGCCTCCATGCTCTGGACCTTAAACTGGCGAATTGCCAGAGAGGGAAAGTTACACAGATGGTTCAAGTCAGCTCAATGAGCTTCCATTCTTTCCTACATTTTAGCTTCTCAAGTCCTGGGTGACTTTATTGCCATCTGATAATTCCAAAGAGTCACTTTTTTATTTTATCCAGATCTTTGAGTGTTTTTCACCTTAATGGTTTGTATGCTACCAGCTGGATGAGCCTAAGTCCACTTGCAATTATCTTTTCATTTTTAAAGTAAGTTATAAAGTAAAGAACTTGCAAAGTGATCCAACCAAAGTCTTATTGCTAATAGCTGATGGAAAGCCAAGTCTAGTCTTTATGTTTCCACTATCCCAGAAGTCTATGCCTTGTTTTCAACTATCCTACATTCCTCCAACTAGAAAATACTACTGATAATTACTGTGGGAAATTTTATTCCCTTGTAACATCTCAAGATAGACTGAAAGACAAATCAAATGTCTTAGCTAAATCTATGGCTACTTATAGAGTAACATCTTTGGTAAACCATTAAACATCAATCCTTTAAAGTCTTGAAAGAAGAGAAAGCATTCTTTCAGATCTTTAAATAAAAGCAAATAAACAGTGACTAGGTGATTCATCGACATGATAAAAAGCTCTCATAAAATGAAGCATAGTGAAGAGTTTATATAAATTTTTTACGTTATGTAAAACATATCACATCTCACATTTGTACCATATTTGAGAAATACTTTAAATATTGAGATTTCTTACAAAATTTGGTAGTTTTTAAAAAAATACAACTAAAAACTTAGTAATTACACTAACTGAAAGGTTTATTTTTCAATTTCTTATGAACATACTTGCAGCACATGTATAAATTCAGTCAGATATGCTACGTGAAAATATGCTGCTAAGACCGTCAAAGAGTGTGCTGCCTATGTTTTCTTCTAAAAGTTTCATGATTTCAGGTCTTACATTCAAGTCTTTAGTCCATTTTGAGTTGATTTTTGTGCACGATGTAAGATAATGGTCTACTTTCATTCTTTTGCATGTGGCTGTCCAGTTTTCCCAACACCTTTTATTGAAGAGACTCTCTTTTCTCCATTGTATGCTCTTGGCTCCCTTGTTGAAAATTAGCTGTCCATAAATGTGTGGGTTTATTTCTGGTCTCTCAATTCTGTTCCATTGATCTGTCTGTCTATTTTTGTGCCAGTACCATGCTGTTTGGGTTACCATAGCTTTGTAGTATATTTTGAAATCAGGGAGTGTGATACCTCCAGCTTTGTTCTTTTTCCTCAGGATTGCTTTGGCTATTCTGGGTCTTTTGTTGTTCCATATAAATTTGAGGATTATTTGTTCTATTTCAGTGAAAAGTATTGTTGAAACTTTGATAGGGATTGCATTGAATCTATAGATTTCTTTAGGAAGTATGGACATTTTAACTATGTTAATTCTTCCAATCCAAGATTACAGAATGTCCTTCCATTTCTTTGTGTGTTCTTCAATTTCTTTCAACAATATTTTACAGTTTTCTATGTACAGAACTTTCACTTCTTTGGTAAGTTTATTCCTAGGTATTTTATTCTTTTTGTTGCAATTGTAAATGGGATTGTATTCGTAATTTCTCTTTCTGCTACTTGGTTTTTAGTGTATAGAAACACAAGTGATTTTTCTATGTTGATTTTGTATCCCGAGACTTGACTGTATTCATTTATTATTTCTAAAAGTTTTTTAGTGTATTCTTTAGGGTTTTCTATATATAAAATCATGTCATCTGAAAATAGTGACAGTTTCACTTTTCTCTTTCCAATTCGGATCCCTTTTATTTCTTTTTCTTGCCTGATTGCTCTGGCTAGGACTTCCAATACCATGTTAAATAGGAGTGGTAAAAACGGGACAAGTATAAATCCAATGGGTCCTCAAAACTCATTGAGCCCTTGGGTCTTCACCTCACTGGTCTAACACAAGTTCTTTCCAATACCAGGAGTTTTTCAGTGTCCCGTTTCTTAGCTAATTTCCCTCTCTGTGACACAACTTACTGCTTAAGTGATCCACCCATCATCTGTTAGTCCAGAGAACTAGCCTTCCTAAAATGTATCATGAGAAACCATACAGCCCAGCAGTTGACAGATCAAACTGTGAGTGAATCCTGACTCTGCCCCTTTCTAGTTGCATGAATGTGGGTAAATTGCTTTAGAGTTATGAGCCTCAGTTTCCTCATTTGTAAAATGGAAATAATAGCATCTATCATTCAGTATGGTAGTGAGGAATGGGGCTAAAGTATATAAAGCAACTAGTATAGAATGAGGCATATAACTAACACCATAAATGATAATTACTTTAATATGGTTTTGTAATAAATGTATTTAAACACAAATTAGTAAGTATAGTTTCTACTAAATGAAGAGGTGGATTATTCATTAATAATGAAAGTATTTTGTGTTATAGTCCAAAATGCGACCAAATCCCAATCAAGATTACCATTTTGTTATGCTCCTCTAATGAAGAGATTTGATAACATTTGGTAATATTAAAAATTTGATAAATTAATAAGATATTTGGTTATTTATCATCTACATATCTCAGTAGACAGTGGTGGAAGATTTTAATGATGGTGCTCCCCAAGAATCAGGCCCCTAGAGACACTTATTAAAATGCAAATCTTTGGGTCCCTCCTAAGAATTGTTAAATCAGAATCTCTGAGAAAGAGGTCTGGGCATTTTCATTTTCATTTTCATAAGCATTCCAGGAAATCTTTTTACACTTTGTAGTTTGAGAACCATTGCTTTATGATTAAACAAAGAATAAACCCTGCAGTCCTTAGTTTCTTATACTCTTACATCATCCCTACTAGAGATATTGTGACAAAGTTTGTGTATTCAGGCATCAGTTCTTGGAAAGAAATCAAGTGAGAAAAGTACAAGTATAAAGTCATGATCTCAGCCCTAAAGTTAGAAGGACTAGGTTGGCTGTAATGCAGTGAGAAGTTCAGCTAAGTTGATAATCTTGCTAACTCTATAATGAAAATATTATGACAAGAAGACAAATGTACCCACATGGTTCTAACGGTGAATATTCTTAACTCTTAGTACTTTCACTCTATGGATTAATCTAAATGCAGCACAGAACAATTTTAAATATTGAGCACTGCTTTTTAAGCCTCCTGTCATCATCTCAAACAGCATTCTACTCTTTTTCATTATAACACTTACCGTATTTTTAATGCATGTGTCTTACAGTTCAGTTTTTGTTTACCGATCTCCCCACAAGGTGAGGCTATCAGCTATGTCATAGTAGGGTCATGTGTATTTTGGTTGGGATACCAAGCCAGCAAACTCCTAGGCACACAACAGATGATAAATATCTATAGAGTGAATAAAATGAGTGTTTTATGCATTGAAAATTTTTATCAGAGTTTAGCCATAATTTTTCCTCTAAATACATGATTTTAAAGGTTTTCATAGTACCAGAAATAAGGAGATCCAGCAGCCCACTGGAGAAACTTGGACTCTGGAGTCAGGTAGTCAGTCCCGAGTTTTAATTCCATCTCTATTGCTTTGGCTATGGAACCCATTGACGTATTATTTAACTCCTCTTTCTCTGTTTCTTCATCTCATGACGCCTTTCCAAATGAATAGACTATAAATGACAATTGGATATACAGGAATATCTTTCAAATTCAGAAGGTAGCAAAAACATAGGCAGTGGAATGAAGCCGCAAAATTTAGTGGTTACGAGACCTCTAGCAAGACTTCACTCTTATCCCAGCTGTTCTTTACTCTCAAAATGACTTTTCATGGTAAATTGCAATACGACTAGCTGATACTTTAGAAATCTCACAGATAATTAATAAGTACTCACAGAGTGTTCAAATTCTTGAGTTCCTTGAAGGCGCTCTCAGGAATTTCTCTTATTCTGTTAAACCTCAAGTCTCTGGGAACATAAAAAGGGGAAGAAAGATTATTCTATATCGATTCTAGTTGTGTCATTATTTCCAGAAGTTTGAAAGTCAATTCTCCTTTTTTAATCAAATATATAGCACTAAAGGACTAAACATAATTAAGACATAATTAGGCATGTCATGCGCTAATCATTAAGTATGTTGTTTACAGCACATTATGCAAATGGGGTGCCATATGCCAGTCCAAAGGTGCCAGACAAGTGCAGATAGAGCACTTCAAAGTGTTAAAGACAGTTACTCCATTTGCTTTAGGTTGTATTTGTATGACACCAAAACAAATTCTAGATATGGCAACATGCCCATAGAGTAAATTTAATCTGGAAATAATATTAGAATATCAGATGTCACCTATCAATTCAAAATAACACCATTGCTCGAGTTTAGGCAAAGTTATTAATTAGTTCATTTTTCCTCATAGTCCAGGAATACAATAGGCTTCTAAGGAAGTATTAAAGCAAGTTAACAAAACAATTAGTTTGACAGAGATATTTCTCCACAACCAACATTCTCTTTCATCAATCAACATATTACTTTACTCAGCATGTAAATTATTGAGTGCCAACTACATGCCACACACCATGTTAAGTAACAGAGACACAAAGGTGAGCAAGATATGGTCCCTGCTACTGAGCAGTCATAGTTCCGTTGACAGTGACAAACACATAATTATAATACTAGTATATAAAGTATTAGTGGTACAATAGAGAGACAAACAAAATGCTGTGCACACACAGATGACTTGAGCATTGGTCTGCACAGACCCCCTCTATCAGAGGGAGAATAACCTGCTCCACTCCCTGTGATTTTGGTGGAGACAAGTACCTTTCCCTGTCCCCAACAGGGTGACTTAGGCCAGCCAACTGGGGATACTGTCTCTCCAGACACTCTTTCTTCCTTGGGGAGCATATGGCTCAAGCAAAGCCTATTAGGGACTTTCATGAACATTGATATGGCTGCTGAATAAAATAGTTATGTTCTTTACCTGAGATTCAGAGTTTATGGAAAAATGAGCATCTAGGGCTCCTGGCGCCCATCTAACCCAGACTAGAAAGAGCCAACCTGAGAATAAGCTAAGCAGAGACAAAAATAGGGTCAAAATATGGGTAAAGAAACAAAGCCCTGGATCCAGCTATGCCTGAGACCAAATTTACCCCTTGACTTTTCAGATATCTGAGACAAACTGTAATTTTGATAAGCTTCTGTGTGCTGAGTTTCTATCACCAGTGTAGGGAGCATAGAAGAAAGATAAAATAATTTACTTGGAAATGTGAGACCCAAGGGGATCACATCAGGAAAATTCTACAAGGCATTGGAATGTCAGTTAAAAAAAAAGGAAAAAAAACACATAAAGAACAAAACAAAACTATCTCTATCTCTACTTCCCCTCAATTAATTTCTCCAAATAAAATTCTTCATCTCCATAAAATGTTGTTCTATCTTGGAATACTTCATTCCCAAATCTTTGTAAGATTACCTTAAAATCCTACCTATCATTTTATGTTTCTCCTGAGTCAACTTTGGGAGAATACGCACAATTTCACAGGAGCTGTTATTTTCCATTAAAATAACTCACTGTGTCTATGCCTCTTTGTTAGATGGAATGGTGCTTAAACACTGCACACTGGATTTGATGTGTCTAGACCAGATTTTTAAAGGAAACTTTATAGTTATGTGAGATTCTCCCTATAAACACGCAAGGCATAAAGTTATATAGACCTAAATACCCTAGGAGTGCAGGTTTCCCTTAAACATAGAAGCTTTAAATTACAAAAAGGACTTTCTTCTCTCATTAAACCATAATTCCTAATAATCATCCTAAATTGAGATGCCAACAATACAAGAAAGGAGCAAATATAAAAAGATAAATCTTTTTCCTTCTTTTAGGCTTAGAAATTTTTGAAAAATTCAGAAAAGTAAAAATCAGAAAATAATAACCTTTCTTGTCCACATGCAGAATTAACAACTGTTTACACATTGATATAGCTGCTTCCACTCATAATTCCACATATTTTTATTTTTACTACACAAATCATATATAAAAACATATTACAGGTTAAAAAAAAAAGTCTCTTTTAAGCACTATCTTAATTTTAAGTTTGTCTCCTCTCCCTAGATGGAACCACTGAGTTTGATGCCCCTCTTCAGACAGACATATATATGTATGCGAGTAAATATAAGATAAAAAGTATACAAATATAAATATGAAAATAAACATAATGTAGGTAATATAAAAACTGTATCGTCTTTAAATTTATAAAAATGGTATCAAACTTTACATGGTTTTTAAAACTTTGCTTTCCCCCCCTTACTGCATCTTTTCTATGTCCTTCCTTGTGGACACATAAAGATCTAGGTGTTTACCTCACTCTTCTGTAGTACTCTACTGTGTAGACAGACCACAGATCCTTTGTGTATTCCCTTACTAACAGACATTTTGGTTGTTTTCAGTTCTTTGCAACATTATTTACACACAGTATTGCAATAAAAATGCATGCATGTCTCCTTGTGCACGTGAAGAAATGTTTCTCTGGGGTAAATATTTAGAATTGGGATTGCTAGATTGTACGGTACGTACATATTCAGTTTTACAAAATGAAGACAGTCCAAATTTATTTTCAACTAGGTACAGTCTATATATATATATAAGTAATTGAAAATAATGTGAAAAGATGCTTGAACTAATCACTAAACTACAAATTCAGACTTTTTGCAGGATTAATTTGAAAGTCAAGATGCTATGTGTGTTCGTTATCAAATTCCCTCTTTGTCTTCAAAAGCAAGCAAGAGTAAGTTCTCCTGCCACAAGAACAGTCTGGTGAGGTCTCCATTGTCCCAAGGGTTACTCAGGGACTGTGGGATGCAAACCTACCATTCTCACTGGAGAGGCAGCCACTCGGAGTCTCTTCCAGAGAAGCAAAGCGCGCTTAAAGATTGAAAGATTTTCTCCAGGTTGACTTAAATCCCTATAAGGCATATTCAAAGGCCCCCAAATTAATATGTTAACAGTTGGTCTTCTTTGGCTGGTATATTCTACCACATAAACCTTTATAGTTGGTACATTTTAAATTGAAATTCTGGGGAAAGTTTTCCCTTCATAATTTTAATCCCTGCATTTTTAGGATTGCATATGTGGCATTGAACAATGCATTGCTTAGAGTATGGTAAATAGTTTTTTATACAATTAAGTGAAAAATTAGATCATTTGAATTCAAATGGCCACCAAATTTGGATCATGCTTCTTTCTGTGTAAATAAGTTTAGCCCAAAATATAATTCATTTTCCCATATTGCCTCTGTTTTGCTCAAGGTGTATAACTAACAATTTCACTTACACAAATTTTGTCATATAAGACTTCCCTTAGCATAACATGTTGCACTATATTTTCACTCTTTACATAATTAGAGTGAAAATTGAATTATTATATATCCTTCACAATTAATCCCATTGTTATGTATAATATTGATAAAACAAAATTCATGATAATAACAACCGCTATTTAACACAATTTTCATCTCATCCATGGTTCATTGGAATTCAATTTAGAAGCAATTCTAGGAATTGCACCAAGATAAAAGCTAAGCCATGGAGTTTACTAGAAGTGGTTAAACAGAATTAATCTGTTTGTCTCTCTGATTTCCCCTAGCTCAAGTTGCTGAAGTTAGAGAAGAAGTGCTTCATGCTCTTCACAGCAAGAAATTTGTACTCGATGTATGTAACCAGTAACAGATGGGTTTTTAGCTCAAACTCAATCCCAAACGGTTCTTCTGCCAAAAAGAGTTTAAAATGATTTTTCATTGCAGAAAGAGGGCAAAGAACAAGCACGTGCAGAGAGCAACATGAACTAGCCCCAAATAAATTAGTAGAGCTCAAGATCACACCAGTTAGTCCCTTGAAGAAACAGTGCACACCAGTGCTAGTGTGCAGCCCCTGGGGGTTACACGGAGTCATACCACGTCCGAGTGCAGAGAAGTCCAAAGACCACACGGTGGGATAGAAAGGCCAGAGCTTGTCCAGATCCCGAGGTTCTCAGTGTATTTCATAAATGCCAAAACTTAGGGCATATTTAATGTTAACATTAAACATTGTTTGTAATTGTTCAATCCACAAAATAATTGCAAAGTTGATTTTTAAGATTATATTCTCTACTGTTTGCTGTACAAATGGTGCAGTCCAGTTTAAGATGAATGTGTTGCTCTTGAAATACTATCAGCCTGGCTCTGGGACTCAGTCCATAATGTTGTTAGGAGATAAAATCAAAATTCTAAATTTGAGCCCCTTCCCAAAGGTGCAACCCAGGCCACACCCCACATCTGGCCCCACTGTGGTGTGGATCATCCCAATAACATCCCAGGTCGGAGGTGCTCTTCAGGTTTGTGACGAGTAGACACTTGGGATAAGCAGGCCACTTTCTAGCCATTAGAGCTATGATCTGGTGCTGAGAGAGCCAAATAAAGAAGGTGAAAGTCTTCGGGAGTGCCATCTTCACAGGGTGATTTCTGACTGAGTGAGCCACTTGTTTCTCTCATAACTGAGAAATAGTCATCCTGGCAGAAAGCTTATCTGCATGAAAAAAGGATCAAGCAGATCAGTACTTCAGACAAATGCATTCCTGTTGAAGGCAGGGATGCAACGAAGTCACTGTCCTGGCAAAAGCACACAACTGCAGACAGAATGTCAACAGATTCCCGTCTCCCTCAGTTCCCGAAAGGGTGGGAGGGAGCAAGATGACTCTGGTAGCTGGGCTGTTGTCTTCTGCGCCAGGGGTCACCTGTGCTCTCTGCCTCTGGCCCAGCTCTGGAAGCAGAGCACAGCGCGTTCTCTGCTCCCTGCAGCGCAGGCCCCCAGCCACGTGAATCCCAGCCCCACACAGCTGTCGTCCCATGTGCCACCCCTTCCTCCACAGTGTCTAGACACTGCCGCCCTCACTGACCAGACCTTAGAGTCAGAGGAAGGATGTAAGAGATTTCTCCACAACCTCTCCTCACTGCCCTGAAGTCTTCTTTATCTTTTTGTTTTACAGCCTGTCAGTGAGGGAGTTGGAAATATATTCTCCAGGTCTGAGAAAGAGCACTTGGAGGACGCTACTCAATGCATCTCTGGCCTGATTCCCAGTCATGTACCCATCTGAGGAATGTTCCTTGGTTTTCTCTGATCTCAGGTGCATTTTCTACTTACCAAGTGCCAAGTGGCCAGAGTTTGAGCTCATCATCTGCTGCTGTTTGGCCC